TTCAAAATAAAATTAGTAAATCATAATTTTTCTCGGTGGAAAACGCTGTATTTTACGCAAATAGAAGTGCAATTACATTTTACCCTGTTCCTATTTCGACCACTAATTTTATTGTAGTTCATCTTTTAATAGTATATTTTATTGCACTTTGAATTTTAATATTATCATTCCGAAATAAACGCATTTTTTTCTGTCTCCGGTCAAGTCGCATACGACCTTAACGTACACTGTGGGAAGACCAGTGAATTAAACTGATTTTACCGTTTTGTATGTTTTAACCACGAAGTCAGCTAAAAATCTGCTTATATTCTGCGTGGTTTTAATCGCGGTCATATAATCTGTTCGTGTTCAAATGACCAATGCATTGAGTGATTAAAAATGTATTAAAGAGGACAATGGGATAATTATTTTACACACCACTGGTCAACAAGTCGCATCGAGAAGAAAAGATTACACTTCGTGATTAAAGTTCAATCCAAGGTTTATAAATTGCAATCTATAAACTTCATAGTTTATGAACTGTACGTGACCTATAAACTTTGAGTTCAACCGACATTGATCACAAGAAGATCTGCAAAAGTATAATAATAATTGTATTTTTTATTTTATTTTTGTGTTATACCTTTTGTGTTAAACGTAAAAACGTTTAATAGAAACGCGGACTGATAAGAGAATATTATTGTTATCACGTGAGGGAATCGGAGCCGATCGAAGAACCGGATCGGCTTAGGTTTCTGAAACGATGTACGTTATATATTCATACGCGGTCGATTAAAATAATATGTTTTTCGTTTCTATAAACATGACGATTTAAAATTTATCATATAATCTTAAATATATACCACGGATTTGTGTAAAAAAATGTTGTGGTATATTTCTAATACTTATTATGTAAATTAACAATATTTTATTCGTATACGGCTTTTATGAAAATTGTTAATATAATATTATTTACGTCTTTATAGGTGAACTATTGATAGGTAGTAAATATATTAAATGGTACCCCGACGGGTTGTTCGAAATTTGCAATAGAACCTAATATATTTCCAATAACGAAAGGTAATTGGTTTAAGTTTACCGGATCGAAATAATTATTTAATTACTAAAAGTCAGTTTTTAAAAAACGCAATAATTAAAGGAATACAAAATACTGTTAATTTTGTTGAGAAGTTTTTATATTAAAAAACAGGACCTACCTATATAATTAGGACATAGGTAATCAAATGATATTAAAAGATTTTAATGTAATATCAAACATAAACTTGACGGCTAACAATAACTGATGAAACTTATATTTTGTTAAATATAAATAGCCGAACACTTCACACTAACAGAACAGGTGGATAAATAATAGATAGAGGTGCATTACAAAGTCAGAACTAATTGTCTTTAGAATAAATAAGGTAAAATGTGAATTTGAAAAATAAAATAATTGCACGCGTAGTCTAATTAAATATTGTTAACGAAACTGACTAGGACTGCTTTTTTATTTCTTTTCTTTATTATAAAGCTTTCCTGGCGTTTTTCATTTAAACTTGGGTAAATAATAACTATTTTTTTTAATTTTTTTTAACGTTTGAAAAACAAATTATAAGATAGTAAGATTACTTGGTTTTTATTTACATAATACAAATATAAACAATTTTTTTTTTTGTTTTAAAAATTTGTTACAACAATTTATCAATCTACAAATAAATATTTACAATAATAGATGCTAGATAATTAGGACGTTATGGGGACGATCAAATTTAAGTCTGCGACTGTTAGGGCGGACACTCAACCCAAAATGTTGTGGGATACTTGCTTTGCGTAGATGGCAGAAGAAACTTGCTGATATGTCCCTGATGTAGTTCTTTATTGTTGGTAATTTGAAGTCAATGTACAGCACATCATGTCAAACAAACCAGGGAGCATTTGAAATGATGCGGCGAACTTTGGATTGTAGAACTTGAATTTTATTTAAGTGAGTTGTAGCACATTAACCCCAGATCGGGACAACATACGGTAGTAGAGGACGAATAATTTGTTTAAACCTCAATAATGAACACTTCCAGTTCAGTGAGGTTTGACGATTAATTATTGACTATAGAATATAATTTTTAAATGTTGGTATCCTTGCTATAATTTGGAAGATATGTGATGATTCCAAGTAAGTGCTATATTTTATCCGTTAATATTTAGAGTATTATAATTAATGTGTTTTTGAAGTGTGAAAATAACTGCTGTGTTTTTCGTTCGATTGAGGACGATTTTCCGTTTTTACGGCCATTCTTGGATTATGTAAAGATGAGTTTGAATACTTTCGGTTACCTTTTCAATTTTATCTCAACTAGAATATATGACACTGTCGTCCGGATACAGGGCTATTTCCATGTTGTTGGGAAATCAGGTACGTATAAGTTGAAAAATATAGGATTTTTAGGAGATTTTTATAGGAGATTTTTGAATCTTGTAGTACACCTGCATTAATTTGTTTGATATTCGTGTTAGTATAATTTATTTGAACTGTGAAACTGCGAGAGGAGAGAAACGATTTAATGATTTTGAAGATAACAATAGGTGTGTTAAGACATTTTAATTTGTATAGCAGTCTGTCATTCCTGACCTCGTCGAACGCTTTAGCAATATATAGAAAGGCCGCTCTGGTGTGTTCTCTTTTTTCGAAACCGTTGCTTATGTGCTGTGTTATTCGAAAAAGTTTTTGAGTTGTTGAGTGGTTTGGCTTAAAACCAAATTGACAGTGAGGGATTGCGTCTGTTACGTTTAAATGACTAATAAGTCTGGTGTGGATAATTTTTTCGAACATTTTTTAAACACACGATAATAAGCTGATGGGCCTGTAATTTTTTTCGTCAGAGTTATCTTTGCCAGGTTTCTTAATTATTATTATTGTGGTCTTTTTCCAATCCATAGGAAAGTAACTCAATTTTAGCAGGGCATTGAATAGCATTGTCATAATTGTTTCTTAAAGACGAGATATTATTTCATTGACCATTACTATAACCGTATTAGAAATATTTTTAAGAATTTTAATATTATCTGACACGTAACGCTTAAATGTATTCCAATTAGGTTTTCCTTTTAATAGTTTGCGAGTTGTCTCGATATGTATTAGTGACGCGCTTATTGATATTTTAACTGGTAAATGATCCGAATCTAATTCGAATAAGGGTTCTTGATTAATCAATAAAAAAGTTTATTTTAGAAAAACAACGTCTAAAATATCTGGACTTTTATTAGAATCATAAGAATAATAAGTAGGTCTATCTGGTGCAGAGATGAACGTAGAGGATTTTGATTGGCACTTGTGTAATTTTCTACCATTCAAGTTTGTAGTGGTGCATTTCCAGATTCCGTGTTTTGAGTTTAAGTCACCTATGATAATAATTGTATAGTAGTGGTTTAAGATTAAGTCTAAGTCGTTTATGCACACTATATAACTTGGAGATTGGCGCGTCCCAACTATAGTAGTATTTATATTATTAAATGATAATGTTATTGTTATGAATCTAATGATCGCAGCGGTGGGATATATGCCTGTTGACGTTTTATTTTGGTGCGAATTATTAACGCGACGCCACCTGAAGGCTGGACAATTAGCCGATCATTACAATAAATTGAATAACCATTAAATTTAATTGGGTCACTTACGCATAAGTGAGTCTCATTTATGCAGACTATATCGACATTGTGATGAGATAAGAATACAGCGCATGCGTTTCAATTACGATTAATGCCATTTAAATTTCAATTAATGATGGCCAGCATTATTTAGATTAGTTGACATTTACATTATTTAATAGAGCGGGAAGATAAGTGATAACTTTTTTGATAAGTTCTGAGATGAGAGATGTGAATAAGGGCATTAAAGATTTTGTGATTTCGTTAGTAATATTTGGGTCAACTGTTAGATTCTCTGTTGGAATTTCATTTTTACTGATATTATTTTTAACTTTACTGTTATAAGAATCGCTTTGCGGGTTTATTGTTTGAGAAGTTCGAGAATTAATATTAGGTTGATAGATGTTATGCACATGAAGATTGGGAATATCTAGTAAATGTTTAGGCGGATTTTGGTGAGTCTTGACTTTGCTGTGGTTTTTAATTTGTTTATACATTTTGCAACATTTATAGTTTGCCTGGTGATTTTGGCTGCAGTTTATACAGGTAGATGGGCTATTTTTGTCTTTAGTAAAAACAGAGTTGTGATGTTGTTCTGGGCATTTCACGCATCTGGGAGGAAGTTTACAAACATTTTTTGTGTGATTGAATCGTTATCAATTTTTACATTGGGGAATAGAGTTATTCGAGAAGATCTAGTAAGAAAATATTTTTTTGGCTGATTTATCAAGGATAACAGCGACTATTGAAGTTGGTGATTTATGACGATTTAGTAGCCGGGTTACTAAAATTACTTTGAATTTTATTACATATAGTTTCCTCATATATTTCTGCTTCTGTTATGGAGTATTTGTAGTAAAAGTATCTCCCCACACTGATTTACTTTCAGAAAAAGTACTATCGTTGTAAATCGGAGCAAAATTACTGATAGAAAAATTGAAAACAGATAAAAAAATAAAACTAAAATAAACATCTTTGTAGAAATATAAGCTTCTTCGCTCCACTTAGAATCTAAAATTTCAACAGTCAATCAGATACTCCGCCACATTCTTTAACCAGAAAATACTAGCCGTTAAATATAACCGACATATAACGATCTGTAACAATGTAGACTGAAGTTTGTAATACTGGTTTTTTCTGTGACTGTTAAATATTTATCGACGTGCAACCGATAATTGTAATACTATTTATTCATTTCTTTTTAATTTTCTCATATATAACTATTCTTTTTTTCCATAGTGACAAATGATTATAGGTTTATATTTTAAAATTCTGTAGCAACTTACTGGAGTTGCAGTAAATAATTGTAAAATATATAAATACATATATTTATTTTCATATCAAATCTTAACTTTTAAAAATATATATTTTCATCAAAAATGGCAAAAAGTTCAGCAAAAGGGAAAAAAAAGATCGTTGACCAACCCATCAAAACCATAGACGCCGTTATACCAGTTTCTACACCTACAGGCTCTGTACATTTTGACGAATTTCTAAATGTATGTAGACAACCAAAATTACCATATATACCAATTGAACCTGTAAAACCCTCAAAAAAAGACAAAATAAAAGAGGGTAAAACACCCAAAATCCAAATAGTTGATGAACCAGATATTCCGGAAAAATCAAGTTTGCCAACATTGTTTCCTCTGATAAAGGCCTTACTACTACCTGCCGATGATGATATTATTGAAGAAACCCCTTTAATTTCGGTACGTAGTTAAACATTTCATTTATAACGATGAAAGTATAATACACTTGATATGTGTTATAGGAATTTGCCGTTGGTAAAACAAATCCATCCATTTTTAATAACAAAAAGTCGATGCAAGCAATAAACGAAATCGAGCAGCAAGCAAACAGTGCAGTTGACAAAATAAATATAGTGCAAGACCAAATAAAAATTATAATGCAGGTTAATAACACCAAATTTAAACTAAATAATTATTTATGAACGTATATTACGATGACCATTAAATTTTACAGAAACCCAAATTAAACGAACGTGAAACTGTTGAATTGGAAGAACAACAGACGTTGCTCTTGAAATTGTTAAATGATTTTGAAAATTGTTTAGAGAAAATTCGTGACATATATTATACTGAACAACAAGAAAATGCTAACAACGACGACAACGATAATTGGTTTGACGCTGACGACGAAAACTTTGACCTTGGAAAACAACATTTTAAGTGTAACAATATAGAAAAATTCGATACAAACAAATGTAATATCATAGACAAATTCGACACAATTACAACCAAGTCTCAGAAAACGGTACGAAATTAATGAAATTAAAAAAAAATGAATATTAATTTAAATAATATGAAATAATGTGATCTGTAAATCACCTTTTTTGCAGTAATATTTTTAGCATTTTTTTAATTAGTAAATTTGATAATAAAAAATGTTTCCCCAAATTGTGGCATTTACAACGAAATAAAAGGGGAAATGAACTTTCGGCCTTTCACAAATTTCTGTAGTTTAATACTTGAAAATTGCAAATAAAAAATTCTATAATACTTTTATTTTCATGCATTAGTTTGGCCACAGTAAAATACTATAATATCGGTCTGTGAAAAAGTATCGCAAATTACAAGGTGTCCGAGAAAATGTGACCAGACAAATAAATTAATTTTTTATTTTATACCTTAGAATAATCAAGAAGGTTATAAATGGTACGAAAGTGCTGATTTAACATATCTTCTGTCGCCAAATACATCATTTGACAAGGGAGTGAGCCAATCCGTGTCGTCCGGCCTTATCAGAATACTCGATGAATTAAAAGATAAGAACAATTCTACGCAAAATAATGCAAAACTGAATGAAGTGTTCAGGAGACTTAGAGCGAAATTCGCCATATTATTACCGCCACCAAGATCGGATGTATATATGTTTAACTTTAGTACACATTTATTTAATTGTTTGTTTAAAAATGTTCTTTTTTCAGAACACCAAAGAAAATTTAATATGGCTGGATCAACAACTTTATAAAGATCATCGAGCTATGTTGGATGCTACAAAAAATTTAAAACTATTTATGTGTGGGAATCAATTTGAACTCAAATATAATATTATAAACGCGTTGATAATATCAATGAAGGACGCTATTATGTCAACTTCTCCGGTTAGTTTCTTCGACAATAATTAAATACCCACTATCTACACTCCATAATAACAAATAAACCTATTATTGAAACAATTTTTATAATATTTGAGTTAAACATAACATTCGACAAAAAAACTATTATTATGAAATAATAAAATAATACAGTAAAAACAAAATTATTAAATGGTTGATACTAGTAAATAAATATATAACTAAATTAATAAATAAATTATTTAATTAATTAATGCGTCGCCCGGAGTATTATGATATGTGTATTGTATGATCGGTTTCAAAAAGAAAATTCATCATCAGATAAAATCACAAAGTAAAAAAGTAAAACGCGACTGAATGTGAACAAATAAATGAAAGAATACATAGAAAAAATGTATTGAATTAAAAAAAAGATATTTTTTGAGAATAAGGGTGATTAGAATCTTGCGGTATTATAGCATCAGTTTGTGTAGGTTTCCTTCTGATTTTTAATATAGGTTTCCATTTGAAAATCCAAAGTAAATAGTTTCCGAGATAATGAGTGTACCACTTAAATGGATAACCCGGTATAAAGGATACACTCTTAATGAATGGTTTACAAAATAACCATAGTTCGGAATCCGGTAAATTATTTTTTCAAATACAAATATTTTAAACATTTACAGTTTTATTATGCGACTAAGGACTTAAAAACTGAGTTTGTGGCTGAGCAAGGTGTTCTTGTACAAGAGTTGGACGAATTCAAACGAAAAATGAAGGACACATTTTTAAAAGCCGGTCTATCAGATTATTGGAAAATAAATCCCGAATCCATAAGACTTGGCGACAAACCTTGTTTTGAAGTTACAATACGAAAACGTAATTCGGAAACTACAAATATCGATCCCACATTAAACGGACAGACATTATTATCATTTATACATCGCAATCCGTTTATAACAAAAAATGAAAATTGCAAAGGTAAATAATGATTATCAATAATAATCATATTTATTTGTAGGAAAATGGAAAATTATTACGTGGTTGAAAACTGTATGAGTAACTAATATTATTTTATTTTTACAGGAATAATCAAGAGGGTAAATTCGATGGACAGCGAATTAGAAGTCGTCAACACTCATTACGACTAATCAGTTTTTCTTTTCTTTGATAACAGTAATTCTTTAGGATGACGTTTATTCGTTTCTTTAAATGGAAATTTGTTTTTCAAAAATTAGAACTACTGCCGTCTAGAGCGAAATATGACGTTTCCTGGATCCTGTGTCAATTAAGTCAATTGAAAAAATACCACCATAAGTTTCCAGGTTCCCCCAAAAAATAGAAACCATTAATTCGCATTTAAAATTTTGTGTGAAATAAAAAAAAAAGACCACCAAGTTTTTTCTTCGTGTCGATTAATTGAGTTAATTAATTAAATCATAATGGAAAGATTTGTGATTCTATGATTTATTAATCAAATATGCAACTTCATGAGAGGATATAATAAGTTGGGGCAGCATTATCATAGGTAGAGGCGATTCAAGAGAAATGTTATGTCATCAACTTAATTATGATTTAGTAGTGAATAGTGGGGTATAAATGTCGGAGAAAGATGTTCAGGGAAGATGTTCGTCTTTTCCTCATCAATCAATGTCAAGAACTATCTTGGTTTCTAAGGACGGGTATTTATGAAGTTGGAGCTCATAGATTAATTGATTAATTTTTCATAGTTCTTTATACAGAATTGTCTTTTGTGAAAAACGTGATGAGATATTCTCTATTCGAATTTCAGAGGGTGTGCGTTTTAGTTTTTGACTCGAGTCATTGCAGTGAAGTTTATCAGAAAGATACTGGGTTCTTTTTCAGATAACTCTAGTTAAACGCTTGGCAGCAATTAAGTGCCTGACGTATGAAAAAAGAATTTAATTTACGACTTTTGATCGTATTTAAGTAGACGATAATCAAGCAGCTAATTAAATAGAGGTGGTAAACGAGGTAACAGCGTCGTCAATATCGGAGAAAGATTTAAGTCGGGTTCGTAAACTCATTCGGTTATCTAAAATTCATTAAAAATTTTTTCATTGTACATGGCCTTTATTGAGAGCTAGAAGAAGAGGTTTAATAAGGGTGGTGTGTCAACAGGGAGTGGAAAAATGGTCCAAACAAGGTGCACGTGTGTTTACTATATTACATTTAAGACTATTATTTACCTAAATATAGAAAATATCGATATGAATTTTATGATCCATAAATTAAAAATAGTTTGGAATTCGGTAAATTAGTTTAAGAAGTATGAATAATTCAACATTCACATTCGAGTTAAAATATAAAAACAGAATTTGTGGCTGAACGAGGTGTTCTTGTACAAGAGTTTGACGAATTCAAACGAAAAATAAAAAACGCGTTTTTAAAAAGACCGGTCTATTACATTTTTGGAAAACAAACTCCGTGAGACTTGGCTCCAAACCATGTTTTGACGTTACAATTCGTCAAATTATTACTTAAATTACAAATATCATCCCCGCATTAAACGGACAGACATCATTGTCATTTGTACAGCACAATCCGTTTATAACAAATAATGAAAATTGTAAAAGTAAATTATTACTATTATTGTATGTATATGTAAGGCTTCTCTTTGTACGTACACTGCAGGAATCACAAAGAGAATCCCGAAAACTTCGGTACTTAGCGTTACTGACCGGACGGCCAAGCGAATGTTACTCTTTGTGCGCAGCGGCGTACTAACACTAAATACCGGTTCTAGAATTCGATGCCTTAGCTAAATGACCAAAATATACAAATACAGATTTATCTAAGGTGGAACGATGATGTATCGTATAATCATAAATCGTACAAATTTGTACATTTCATCATATAAATGTACATAAGAGAAAAAAAAAAATGTATAATACGAATGTTTTCTCGATTTATAAACATATTGAATTAATTATACAGTTTATCATTTTTTTTAAATTTTTTTTTGCACATTTATATCGATCGTAAAGTCTCGAATGAATTAGTGTTATTCAATCACTGAAATATATTTAAAAATATCTTTACATTATGTTCGCTAAAATAAATTATAGGTTCCCGTTTTAATTTCAAAAATTCACCCCCAATACCCATCCAAATAAATCTAAAAAAAAGTTGATCACGGGGAAAATTAAGGCCGTCACATTTGTTCGCTAATACCTATACATTTCGTAGTTTTCCGTTATTCCCCGGTTTTTCGAATTTATCGGTAAAACGCCCGGGGAAAATCGAATAACGACCTCCCAAAAGTACCGCCCCGGTCAGATTTCCGTTCGGAAAAAGTGCTACACCCGTAAGCGAAACCAATGCGTTCCGCGATAATAACATTGCGTTTGTAAACGCCGCGCCGCGCCACGCGGATAGACGCGCGCGCGCTCCGCCGCTGCTGTAGAAAACCGCCGCGCGTTTAGGCCGGGCGACGTGGGCGCGGGTAAACCGCGCGAGCCGTCGCGTTGTGTCGTTGCGTTTTAACGGAACGTCGCGGGGGACGGACCGAAAACCGCGGAGACGAACGTCGCCTGCGCCTGCGCCGGTCCGCCCGTATAATATTGTGATTGTTATTGTTGTTGTTGTTGTTGTTGTTGTTGTTATCAATAAGAGGGTCCTCGGCGCGAACGGTTCGCGAGACGGTGTATTTTTTCGTTTCTCGCCGCCGCCGTCGCGACGTCCATTAGGAGCGGTTGGAGTTTGCGGATGGGATGGGGGGTACTTGAAACTCATTTCGCCCCGGTCGTCCGTAACGCACATTTCTCGTACGGCCTATTTGTTATTGTTCGCGCGCGCGTGTGTATACGTGTACGCGCGTATGCGTATTGTGCCGTACACCGGTTTTTCGCGCGTTGTTATGCGCGACGGCCGTACACCAGGTACGGGTCGGCCGCGGGCCTGTGAGCGCACCGGGCGCGACGATAATATCCGATCGCCCGGTTTTTCTTTCGACGGACGTGTTTCGAGGGCACGTGATAATGCGGCGCGCGTGTTGCGGCGGCGGGTAGGCGCGCGAGCGGTAGCTTATCGTGCGCGCTGTTATCGCGCCGCGCCAAACCTCTCGTCGAAAACGATTTCGATAATATCCCGCGACGCGTACCCGTAATGCCGTGTTTAGCGCGTGTATTGAGTATACGATACGCTCAGCCGCGCGCGCCCGTTTCAACGACGCGGTACGCACGGCGTTTTTAGCACACGAACATAATGCGCATTGTCACCGTGTTTGCATTACGTGCGGCGCGTTGCGCAGGGCGTCCCGCGGAGATTACGCGGACATTTGCGATACCGCGGAGAGCATTGACTTTCGTTCGGCATTTCTGTGTTACCGTTCAAACGCCGCCGCGCAAATGCCGCGCTCCGCCACTCACTCGCCCGACCCAAGGAATTAAGAGCGGATTATCCCGTCGACGGGTTGACGGAAATCGAAAATCTCAACGCCAAAGCGCGTTTAAACGAACGCCCGGTGTCTATTTGGAGGAGTTCGAATACATTTGAAAATCAACAGTAGACGATAGCGTCGGCTTCTTGCCAAAACTCGGTGACGGCGAATTTCACTATTCTGTGATAACGGTGCTATATGGTGTAAAATATTATTTTCTAACGATTGGCAAGAAACGTCTCCGGTGGATTACCCACTCTAATCTGCTTAAACTTGCAGTTTCCTATTTTCACTAACGGATAAGGACGTAAATATAAAGAACTAAAAGGCATTAATGGTTTAATGAGTTTTGGCATAAACAGGAATTATAAAATATTGTGAGCCAAAAGTCAGTGTAGATAAAAAAAAAATCAAAATTACCAAAAAAACTGTGGTAAAACTGTTAAAATGCATAGATTTATAGTACACAGAACATGGTGGGTGGAGATTGTTACGAGAGTGCAAATTATATTGATAACATGAACATTATTATTATTATTATTATTACCAATCTCTTTGTACATTTGGCTTCTTGCCAGAATTCGGTAACGGCAAAACAGTAATTGTTCAGAAAATGACTTTAAAGTTTTTGAAAATTTAATTTTTGGTCTTAATCCCGCAAAATCCTTAATTTTTAAAATGTTTATATACATTTTTTTTTTTTTTTTAATAAATTCGATTTATATTATTGCGTTAAAGTATATTGAATTTTTGCTGAATTGTTTAATGCAATACAATTTTTTCTATCAGTAAAGCATATTGTGTGTAAATAGTTTAACCGTTAGTTTTACCAAATGGAAAAACGATCATTACTGTTTGTTTTGACTGAAAAAAAATTGTGTTGGTACAATATTAAATAATGTTTAAATATTAATTAATTAGTTATTAGTAAAAATTATCATTTTATTAATATTTTTTTGTAACATTTGTAATAGTTTTTATATTGGTTAATTACGTATCATTTTAAACATAATTATTTTTATTTTTTGTTTTTTGGTTATTTTATGAGATATTTTTCTTTTAAATATACACCAAATATTCTATATTTCAATACGAAAACTAATTAATATCAAACCACTGCAGAATTTGTCCAGTCAAAACAAACAGTAATAATCATTTTTCCTACTTGGTAAAAATAACTAACGGCTAAACTGTTTACATTCAATACTTTATTGGAAGAAAAATTGTTTCATTAAACATTTTAACGAAAATCCAATGTATTTTAATACTAGTAATACAAGCGGATTTTATTAAAAAAAAAAAAAAAAATTATGTAAATATCTTAAAAATTAAGGATTTCGTGGGGTTAAGATCAAAAATTAAATTTTAAAAAACTTCAAAGTCGTTTTCTGAATAATTATTATTTTGCCGTTACCGAGTTTGGGCAAGAAACCGACGACAGTCGGTTTATTTCCGAAAACCGGGACGACAACAATAACAACGGTAATGTAACATTTTAGAGCTTGTTGTTTCTTCTTATTTTTCGGAAAAAAATCTTTATGATTTTCGAAATATTCCGATGTTCGTATTATTGTTGTTCGTGGAACAACTCGTATAACGGAAAAAGATCCCTTCTCCCGTACGTTAGAATACCGAAAAACATTATGTTATAAACGAATTATTCGTTTCGAGTAATATTCTAGTGACGAAAAAGAAACGTTTAAGAAAAAAAAAAAAAAAAATTCTAACGCTATTATCGTTCATGCGTGT